CATTGCTAAAATGATATTATAAATATTGTCCCAAGAAATACTTGTAGAAAATACCACTTAGTCTCAGGTTTTTTTCCTTTCCAGAAATATTTGGGATCTCTTTATTAAAAAATTATATCTATTATTTACAAAATATAATTATGTAAATGAAGCAGGTAAAAATAGAGATTGGCTAAATCCTAAAAACAAAGCACAGAGAAAGCTGGGTAGGGTCACATCTCACAGAACAAGGTAATACTATGACTCTTCTCCCAAATCTCAAACAGAAAAGACACTTTGAAGAAAAAGCAAATAAGCAACAACTTCAAGATATATCTAACCCAATGAGGCTGTCCTAAATGATGTGTTGTTTAAGCCTAAACCAAATCCTTTCCATGGAATTATGGGGATGGGAGATAGGACAAGAATTCCATGTACATAAATTATCCATGTATCAATATATGGAAATATATTCAAGATATATTCATACCGATATGATTCTATGATATATGGAAACTAGTATACAGGGGTTTTATCACAGTGAGCTTGATACCTGACATCTCAGTGCAAGTCTGCTTGGAATGACTCAATTCATTTTAATGCAGAATATGTCCCTTAGGGGACATAAACAGCAAAGGCAGTTACTTACCTCTACTGCATAACCAGAGGTACAGTTATCAAAATGTTTCCAGAGAGCCCATGTGCATCCTCCCTTGCAGCCAAAGTATCTAAGAGCCTAAGAAGAAAAAAACCATTCTGAAAGGAATCTAGAGAAGTAGATGAAAAGAAGTAAAAGCATAGTAAAAATTGGTTTCCCTATCTAGTTAACATAGATACTTCCAGCTTCTGTGCTGAGCATAAAGTGGAAATCTCTCCAAATTACATGTTTATTCACTCACTAAGTACAGCTGGAACAGCCATTTTGAGAAACCTGGTTTTCATTTTGCCAATCTCTTCTAACTTTGTACTATCTTGCAAAAGTCTTGAACTTAAATTTATACCATAATAATATTTCTGCTCTACAAATCCTGTCACTGAACATCAAAGTGCCTAATCTGAGCAAAGAAGTGCCACGAAGATGGAACGTACGTGTCCCAAATTCTGGGCTTGAACAGGAGCAATGTAGAATGCTTAGGGTTATTACATCTATTCACCCACAGCAAAATTGTACAGTCATATGCTGCTTGCTGACATGTCCATAGATGGTAAATACAGCTGATGTAGAAGAAATCTTTTGCTTGAACACTTCGGAATATTTGCAATGCCAGTGCATCCCAAGATTGTGTTAAGGCTGGATCTCATAATCCCACTGCAAAACAAAACCAGAACTATTATATTTGTATATTCATTTTGTTAATTTAAATGTCTGTCCATTTCGATACATTGTAAAATGAAAATCTGTCAAGAACTCATAAAAGGCCCGAGTACTACAAAACTATGATTTCATTCATATTTGGTTCTAATTGTTAGAGTTACACGCATAGAAATACATGAGGTCAGACTTAAAGTTCAGCCATACCAGTGTAAATGTAGAGAATCTGCCTGTTAGTATAGTTTTAAGGTAACCATTTCCTGATAACCTAAGAAGAATTTTTTATTCTCAGATACTTAAGTTATTTTACCAAAGTATAAATTAACAGCAAACTATTTTGTAATGTAAGAGTTAGGTAGACAGATTTTAAAACTTAACAGGATCATAACCTATTTTCCGAAAACTGAGTACATTCAAATAACTAAATACAGAAATATTAATGATCAAGCAAGTTCTTTACTTTCCTCAGTTTTTCAGGGCTCTCTGTAATTTTGTGTGTGTTACTCTCTTTGTGCATGTGTTCTTAAAGTCATATGTGGTTTTCCCTAAAATTCAGGTCTCTGTCAATACCTTTCTGTACAAGATCCCTTTCTAGCTAAACTGGAAATTGAGAATTTAATTTAGTGTGTGCTATTGTGTCTGTGAATCAGTAATTTTATCTGTCAATTGCACTATTTCATCTTTTACTTTTCAATTCATTTGCTAGATGCTTATGCAGAGTTGTGACAAAGCTGAATGAAAAAGGGTATGAAACATAACATTTTTAAAAACACCTACTTGATACCTATTAAAATATCAACTCTTTTTTTACAACATCAAATGCCACTCCACAATTCTGTAGCAGATGTTGTGGAAAGTAACAGTGGCTTCTGCAGAAAACCCATGTCCGACTACAAAAAATAGACCTGGGGGAAAGCCGTTGGTGCTGGGTTCCAACAACTGGCCGCTGCGGTGGAGCTGCTTCTGTGCCACAGCTGAGGGCAGTCACTGCTGGCTACAACAAAAGCCTGTGAGGGTATGAGTTAACACCTTCACTCAGAGCAAGGACCTCACTGCAAAGACATATCTTTGTCAAAACGATAAAACTCGACTTGCATTTATATTTAGGACGCTAATCTACAGCTGTCTTGTTTCCTCTCATGCAGTTCAACTGTGAATAACAGTGTTTGATTAAAATGTTATTCCACAGGACCTGTGTCACTTGTTTCAAAACTCACAGTGAAATATTTCGGAGCACAGCTACAGGTTACCATTGCAGAAAGCCTCATTTCATGGTACTCATTGCAAGGTTTGCAAAGGGAGGCTGGAGAACAATGTAGGTTTTTTCCTGTTCTCCTTCACCCTCACTCCTCTGCCTCACGTCATTGCCCCAGGTCTGCACTACTGCTTCCAAACCAAGTATTTCTGACAGAAAAGGAGAGCACGCAGTCATACTGCTGCTCCAGCTCTGTCACTCTGCCTTGAATAATTTTTGAAACAGATATAAAGCTGCAACCATCCTGGAAGGAGTGGTGTAAGTCTCTTAGAGAAGTAAGGTCTTGCAAGTTTCTTGAAACTGTGGAGGGAAAAGATTAGAAGTACTTAAGTACAGGGAGAAAAAGGCAGAAGGAACTCCGCTACTCTAGGTGTGTCGCAGCAGTCTGTCCTAGCACACCTACAGCACTTGCTGCCTTCTGCAGGAGCTGAGCTCACTGATGTTTGCACAGGGAGAAAACATGCAGGAAAATTGGCAGAAGTCAGGACACCACACTTCACTGGGGAGTAACTTATTTTAATACACTGTAATTTAAATGCAATGCTAATAAATTTGGATAGAAAAGTGTAACAATAATTTGTATTACGGTTAACTGTATGCTTTCTATTGGGACGAGAGCCGGCCCAGTTAAAATCAGTTGATATAAAAACTAACAGAAGCCAGACAGCACTAAGAAATTTTCAAATGTGACCGCGTATCGCCCAAACAAACTAGTGCAAACATTGCAAAAGCAACAAGATCAATGGTAACAGCCCAAGAAAGAGCGGTAAAGTCGTCTTCTATGCATTTCTACGCATTTACTTTATGCGTAACTCTGCAGGTAAAATCCTTTGCATCACAATCATTCTGTTTGCCAACAGTTTAGTTTGATGTCAGATGACAACTGAAAACGTGTCAGGCAGGGATCGGCTCCGCCCCGTACCTGCGTTCAGAGAGCACAGCCAGCCTCTGCCCGAGCGGCAGCCAGGCACCTCCC